TCATTGGGTGTAGCATCGTCTTCCCATCGTAACAAAAAATGAAGAACTGTTGTGAAAGTTACCCCCCCCCCCCCCCCCCCTGTGTTTTCTCCGCACTCTGCTTTTTCTTTTTTTTTTTCTGTAATAACAAGGTGAAAAAATGCCATGCCTCAGCTCAGCAGCTTCAGGATTACCGGACCTCAGCTCCGAATTCAAGCCCGTTCTTTTCGAAACCCAATTGAACCCGAAAATTAACCCGGGTTTCGTCCAAGAACCCGACCCGGATGCGTGTGAATTGGAGCCCCAATTTATGGAGCCCAGCGGCGACGGCGGCAGACCAGATGAATTCGGAGCAATTGGAATGAATCCGGGACCGGGACCCGACCCGGAGAAGGATTTGGGCTATTTGGACCAAACGGAGCTCCGATTGACTGAGGTTAACGGCGGCGGCGGTGGTGATGGAATTGAAAGGGCGAAGGCATGCAGAGTGAAGGGGCCCACCACCACCTCAAAACTTGTCCTGGAAGGGTCTCATATGAGAATTGAGGAAGGGGTTTCTGAATTCAATTGTTCCTTGCCCTTTCTCGTTGGAGCTCCGAAATCGGTATCAATTTACCACTACCATTCTTTTTTTTGTAGTTCAATTTATTTTTTTTGGTTTTTCGTTTTCGATAGAATTGAATTGTGTGCGTTTGAAAATTCATAAGAATTCGTGTTTTTATGCGATTCTTGATTTTGCTATTTGAGGTTGAGGTTGCAGATTATGTTTAAATGATTTTTAGATTTTTTTTTTCTGGATTGTGTATCTATAGGCTATAGACTATTTTTCGGTTATCAATAAAGCCCGATTTGCAGTTTTTGTTTTGGTGTCAAATTTACTGCTTCGATTGTCGATTATTAAGGATGTTTTGGAGTTTTCGATGCATCTATAATGTCTGATTCTGTGGTTGTTTACGTGGCTTATAAAAAGCATAAATGTGATCGGAAAAAAAGATTCCATTCCCGTGTAGCACGATTCTACTGAAAATCCAGTAGGAGCTGACGGAAGCTTCCTAAGTGAAAATTTGATAGCATAACTGGTAAATCTCGTTAGTTAGTTAGACAACGGAAGTATTAAATTCATATTCCCTTTTCTCCCGGAATGTTCGGTGTACTTTTTCCGATTCCTTGTATTTGTTAAATGCCCAATGAAATTCTTTTCTTTTTTGGTAGATTGTTATCATGTTCGAAAGCATTTTTCAATAAGGCTATTTTGAAAGAAAGAAAAACGAAAAGGTTATTTTAGGAACTGGCTTAAGCTGGCAATCTCTACGTTGAGTTGATTTTTTTTGTTTGAGGTTTGATTATTTTGAACACTTCGCTTTCAATCTCAGGTCCAATGCGGTGTTTGCCAAAATACGGTCTATCCCGAACAGAGTGTACTGTGCACTGTTCGTGGTTGCCGGGGTGTTTTTCACCTGACGTGTGCAAAAGAAAGTCTTGGTTTGTCATCTTCAAAGCAATTTAAGTGCCCTCAACATGTAAGTTGTTCTATTGTTAGAATCATTCTTTACGATTATTGATTGTTGCTTTGGAGTTTTTAACTGAAGAAGGCTTACATATATAGCATCTTTTTTTTTTTTTTTCCCCGTGAACAGGCGTGCTTTTTGTGCGAGAAAACGAATCATTTGTGGAGATGCATAAGATGCCCGATAGCATGTCATGACAAATGCGCTCCGTTTCCGGAGAATGTGATCAATTGTCCCGATCGACCAGGTGAAGCTA